TATCAAGAAGTACTTCTCCACACCTCACCACCTACAAGCGAATGGCCAGGTTAAGGCTGTGAACAAGACAATCAAGCACGTCTTGAAAATGAAGCTTGATGTGTCAAAAGGGGCCTGAGTGGATGAGCTGCCACAGGTTCTTTGGGCAATCCGAACCACTACGAGGACCCCAACAGGGGAAACAACTTTTCTCATGGCATATGAGACTGAGGCGATGAGCCCCGTCGAGGTCAGACTTCCATCTCCACGATGTCTGCATTTCAATGAGATAACAAATGACGAGCTTCGCAAATGCGACCTCGACTTCATTGAGGAAAGGAGAGATGACGCCTAGCTAAAGCTCGGCACATATCAAAGAAAGATGACGAAATACTTCAACTCAAAGGTAAAGAAGAGGTCATTTCGAATCAACAACCTAGTCATTAGGAGAGTCTTCCTCTTCTCAAAGGAACTTGGCACCGGTTCCCTGGGCCCGAACTGGGAAGGTCCATATAAAATTAGAGAGGAGATCCGACCTGGGATTTACTGGATTAAAAACATGAACGGCAAGGCACAACCCCGTCCATGGAACGTTGAGCACCTCCGAATCTATTATCAATGAATGTACTACCTTGCTGCACTTGCCTCTCTTTAGCGAGGCTGAACGCTACTGGGAGAAGCCTCAGCATGGCTGAACCATCCACCATGTTGGGAAGCGTCATCACCTCGGAGGAGAGGCTAGCGTCCCATCTCTGGGCCACCTCGTCTGAACTCCGAGGCGCATGCACTTGCCTCCCTTTGGCGAGACTGAACGCCACTGGGAGAAGCCTCAGCATGGCTGAACAATCCATCATGTTGGGAAGCGTCGTCACCTCGGAGGAGAGGCCAGCGTCCCATCTCTGGGCCACCTCATTTGAACTCCGAGGCGTATGCACTTGCCTCCCTTTGGTGAGGCTGAACGCCACTGGGAGAAGCCTCGGCATGGCTGAACCATCCACTATGTTGGGAAGCATCATCACCTCGGAGGAGAGGCCAGCGTCCCATCTCTAGGCTACTTCGCCTGAACTCCGAGGCGCATGCACTTGCCTCCCTTTGGCGAGGCTGAATGCCACTGGGAGAAGCCTCAGCATGGCTGAACCATCCACCATGTTAGGAAGCGTCGTCACCTCGGAAGAGAGGCTAGCGTCCCATCTCTGGGCCACCTCATTTGAACTCCGAGGCACATGCACTTACCTCCCTTTGGTGAGGCTGAACGCCACTGGGAGAAGCTTCAGCATGGCTGAACCATCCACCATGTTAGGAAGCGTCGTCACCTCGGAGGAGAGGCCAGCATCCCATATCTGGGCTACCTCGTCTGAACTCCGAAGCGTATGCACTTGAACAAAACAAACTTTTATACCCATTTATTCACAAGGCTCAACCACTACTAGCTTCACGCAACTACCTTTCGAATCAGAAAGCAATATCCCTAGTTCGGCTGAAACACGGTCCGGTCAGGATCCATTCAGGTTACAGTTATTAAGTTTTAAGTACAATTCATTTGCTTAAATCCAATATTGGTCATGGCTCGTGAGGCTTGCCTACAATTTACTTGCTCAAGTGATTGGAGTTAGGATACCAAGTTAAAGTTATTTAGTTCTTCAATCAACATTAAGTTCAATTGCTTGACGAGACCAATGCACTTGGGAGAAAAACATTGAATGAAAGGAGATATTATATTGATTTTCAATCAAGATTACAAAAGGGGGGCCTGAGGCCAATACATCAGAAATAACAGAAAAGAAAACTATCCTAAGCCTGGGACGATGATGGAGGTGCCTCAGCAGCCGGGGCCTCCGCAACCTGAGCATCAAAACTTCATTCTTCTGCCTCTGCTACTTCATCTCCAACCGCTTCATCGGCTAGGGTTTGAGGCACCTCATCCACAAACTATGACCTCAGCTGTGACAGGTCTTGATTTGGGTAGAGTTCCTCAGCTCTCTCCATCATCTCGGTATAAGCATAATTTCTCCAGTAATGCTGAAGCTCTTGTACTCCTCGGTATTGTGAAAGTTGGTGATGTAGTCTTTCACTGCCTCCTCCCTCGCCACATTGGCCTCCTCCCTTGCCTTGGCCGCATCATCAACATACCACTTTATATGGCCCTCCAAGAACTTGTACGCATCTTGGGCCCCTGCTAGCTCCAAGTTTGCCTTCTCCAAGTCTTCGGCAGTCATCTTCTGGTGGTCATTGGAAACCTCCACTTTCTTAGTCAAGGAGGCCACGTTGCACTGGGACTCATACACCTCCTTCTTCAACGCCTCGATCTGAGCTAAGGTAGACTCCGACTTGGCCGCATCTTCAAGTTTTTGGGCCCTCGCTTCCTCTGCCTCGGCTCTAACTCCCTTCAGCTCCTCTGCAAGGGAGGCCATCTTCTTCTCCGAGGACTGGGTCCTCGTTTGAAAGTCAGTAAGGGCCTCCCTGCACTCCAATGCGAGGTCAAAAGTCCTCACACTTTGGCTCACGAGGGCCCTTGTCAAGTCCGTGGCGTCACATGAGGAGGCATGCAACTGTCACCGATCTGTCCAAAATTTGTAGAAACTTTCTGTAGCACTTCGGAGCTCAGGGGACAGAGCCTCCACCAAAGCTGGAGCCAGAACCTTCTCCCTTCCGGCGAGGACGCTCGGAGACTTCTCTTGCACCCTCACAGGCCTCTACTTAGCAGCCTCGTCCTCTGTCGCCTCAGCTGCCCCCTCGCAGCCTCTTTCTTAGCCTCCTCAGCCTTGGCTCGTCGAACCATTTCAATCTTTACCACTTTTGAATTGGTCACGAGGAGCTTCGACTAAGTCTCTTTGCCTTCATGGGACACGGAGGTCCCGAACTTTCCTGACGAGCTAGTGACGTGCACTAGCTTCCTCTTCTTTGGCTCCTCGGGGACCTTCTCCTTCCCCTGAGGCTCTTTGGCCTTCTCTGGCCTTTGAGGTGTCCTCTCTTTGGGAGCCCTTGAACTGCTATCCTCGGAGAGGTGCTCAACCCTTCCCCGAACCTTTTTGGCACCAGTCGACCCCAACTTCAGGGGCCTCGCCTTCACAGTGGATGTGGCTCTGAGTATAGAGGCCATGTCAGGGGGTGGGTATTCCCTCCTCTTGAACTTGTCTACAGAACATGTCAATGCATCAGCATCAAAACAAAAGGAAAGAAATACACAAGTATAGGAGCTTCTTACCCTTGGAGGCCATCAGTTCAAAATCAAGGAAGTAGTGACTTCGGTCGATGAGGTGGTCGAAGTGGCGAAGCTTGAGATGTCTCTTGTAAATGTCCTCTATCACTTCGAACTCCTCATTGCTCAACTCGAACCTCATACTACTATCTGTGAAGGAAGCCTCAACAGTTAGAAAAAGAAATTTGAATACAAAATGCAAACTACTTAGGTTGGGAGACTCACGAGCTTCGTAGTACTGGGTCGGTACTGTGCAAGCCAGGGCTGTGTCTCCCTCCACCGCCTGCCCCTCACCCAGAACCACGACTCCTTCCACCCCTTAATGGAAGAAGGCAGCCCCACCACAAATGGTGCATGAGCCCCCCAACGAGTTAAGTAATACTACCCCCTTGACTCCTTACCTATTACCCTAGGCTGGAATAGGGTCATGAAAACGTGGAGAGGCATGTCCTCCCCAAGTGACACTTCCTTCCATAAGAAATACGAGCTAACCAACTAGCTCCACCCATTTGGCAGAACCTGGGTCGGCGACAACATAAAGTTCCTCAGCACCACCTTGAAAAAGGGGTGCGGAGGAAGACGCATACCTGCCTTAAATAGGTACTTGCTCACCGCCACGCACCCAGGCCTAGAATAGCAGGCTCGCTCATGGGCCTCAGGTACTAACATCTCTACATAATGAGGTACACAGTTCTCTCCCTAATCTCTCCCAGCCTCTTCTTTGTCATATTCGAAGGGACTCTAGACGCCCCCCACTCTACATTGTAGTCTACTGCCTCTTCGGTCATAGCATACTGCTCAACCTCGAAATCCCTCCCTGTAACTAGCCCCCTGACTGAATGATGCGACAGTGACCAACTCCCTACCCAAGGTGGACTCCATTTCAGAAAAGGACTAAGAACCAATACAAGGGATTTTCTGTGAAAATACCTACGGGAATAACTATGCCAACGGAATGCTGCCGAAAAACCAGGGAACAAATAGCTTCAACGCCAAAAAACTTAAGCTTTGGAAGAAAAATCAGATTGCAAAAGGTAGAAAATCCAGTAAGATGGGGGTCTCTCGCCTTTTATAAGAGGTCAGGACGAACCCCAACCGTCTGATCAAAGCCCATCCAATCTGGACTCTTCATTCTAAATCAAATCTGAGGCGTAGAATTCAAACGATTTTTCAAACCTACGCCTCAGGTTAAAGCGTGTCTCCCATGCACCTCCCCCAACGCGTCTGCTTCTAGAAGCTCCAGCTGTTCTCATGATTACGACTTTAATTCGACCGCAGCAGGCGCCTTGGAAGTTGCAACGGTTCAGCTACTTTTCCTCGAGAATATGCACAAAACATCAAATCATTGACACAACTGCCAAGAAACAATTATCGTCAATGTGCCTCAGACTTCAGCCATCAAGACCCAACCACTTTGGCTTTCTCTTCATCATTCAGCCATCGAGCCTCGCAGGTTCGGTTTTCCAACCACCTCGGCTTCCTCTTCATCATTCAGCCATCAAGCCTCGGAAGTTCGGTTTCCCAACCACCTCGACTTCCTCTCATCATTCAGCCATCAAGCCTCGCAGGTTCGGTTTCCCAACCACCTCGGCTTCCACTTCATCACATTTCAGCCATAGCAAGCACCTCAGGTTCGATTTCTCAACCACCTTGACTTTATCATTCTCATCACTCCTCGACAACAGCACATCTCTAACTCCAACCATGATATAAATATCTATACTTGAACTTGAGGGACTATTATTTGGGGTACAAAAAATTTCAAAAATTTCTTTCGATTTAACCAATTGACTTTACTCACCGAAGTCCTCGCATTACATAAATGAATATACTCGAACTTGGGGAACTGTTGTTACTTGTTTGCACACTTGGGCAACCCACCGGGGCCCACAGTCAACTCATACCGAACCACGTAGCACTCAAGCTGAGGTGATTTGCATAGTCGAGGCCCATAAGCCGAGCTCCACAGAAGCCCTGGCCCATAAATACCGAGGCCCATCTATCATTGCCTCTTGAGGAGCTTCCGAAGCCCATATGCCGAGTCCCTTTGGAGGTGGACGAGGCCCTATTGGCCGAAGCTCTGTAGCCGAAGCACAAAGCAGCATCTTCCATAGACACTTTTCCCAAGAGATCCTCTGCACAAAGATCTTGCTAGAATGATTGATAGGACGTTTGTCATGAGTGTAAATGTTAGGTCTTGTCACCAATAGATGCGGCTCTGTCAACAGGGGCGGAGCCCCATCTGCCCGCACTGAACTTTTGGGCTCCAGTAGGCCCAATTTTATTTATTTATTTATTATTATTTTTTTTTAAAAAGCCTGGTTCAAGTCTGCAACCCAGATAGAAGTCCAATTTCCCACAGCCCATGCCCTGTTTACTGACCCGGAATCACAATTCAATTAACCCAATTTCATTCAATCAAGCTCTTCATTTCAACTAAAATCAAAACCAAACCCTTGCTTCCTCACGTGAATCGCCTCTCTCGACTCTCGCTTCCCTTCTCGCCGACTTCCAGTTCCAATCCACTGTCCGCCGGCATCTCCTAGATTAGAGGCTCAAATCTCCGGCCCCTGACTCTAGTATCCTCAATCCCCCACCGCAACTTTAACCTCCAAGTGTATGCTGCAGAGATAAGGGATTCGACCAGGAACGGAACAAGGGTTTGGCTTGGGACTTTTAACAGTGCAGAAGAACCTGGTCTTGTTTATGATCGAGCTGCATTTGCAATGCGCGGGGCTTCAGCTCCCCTTAATTTTCCTTCGGAGAAAGTAAAGAAATCTCTTAAAAACATGAATTACAAGTGCGAAGATGGTTCGTCACCAGCTGAAGCCATAAAAGAGATTCACAGGGCTCGGAGTTCTTTCTCATCTCCTTTCTGGTTTCTTACTTGAACCCTGAATCTCAACCCCTTTCCCCTTTTATCTTCCCTTTTGCTTAAATCATTCATCAATTTTAAATCAATTCCAATTAAAACTTACTCTCTGTTAATGACTTGGAACTCCAAGTTAATTAGTGCTTTGAATTTGAAATATGAAGACTTGTGTTTCAAATTTCAATTTTAGTAGATTTCTGTTTCTTGATTTTTTATTTTGAAAAGTTCCATGTTCCTGAAAACTGAGGACCAGATAAACTTCAATTTATCCAAATTGAATAAAAAAATTTAATTAGTTTTTGTTGGCTAACAATTTTACAAAATGAAAAAATGTGAAATAATCTCACATTCTCATCATCCGCATAATAATTTTGTCATACTTTTTATATACTTTGGAGAGTTGAAACTGTGGAATTACACCTTTCTGTGGATGAATTTATCACAGTTCCATGCCTAAAACACAAAAATGAATTTTCATTCATTCTTTATGAGAGGAATTGAAGATTATTATGATCTTGGATATGATTATTCTAGAAATTTTGTAGCCGATAGAATTCTTTATTTAGTGCCAATAAAGAACTAGCTAATTAATTCGATTTTTCCTCTGATTCCTAGCTAGTTTATGCATATAGGTCTCTTTTGATCGGTAAAATAACATCCTTTTGTTGCTATATTATTATGATTAGGCTTCAGCCTTGTTGTTTTGATCTTGAAGAAATGCTTTTGATTTGAATATTAGAAGGTGTTTCTGATGTTCACATGATTTGTGATGATTGTGATAAATGATTGGAATAGTTCATTATAGTATATGTATAATAGGAACTTAATTCAATGATGGCTGAAGTGAGTTTTAGTGCATATATACAACAATTACAACTGTCACCACCACTTGAACTGCAGAATTAGCTTATATTGAGCTTTCTTGATGACCTTTTTTCATAGAACAATGCTATATCATTTTTAGTTTGCGGTAGTATTGTTTTATATTTTTATCATTATTAAATTCATTGTCAAAAACTCAAAGTTCGGAATTATTATGCCCGCACTGAAAAATATTTCTGGCTCCGCCCCTGTCTGTCAATCACTAAATGTATAGCAAGCTAGGTGCAGCTAATGCCTACAATTTGACATGTAAATTAACCGGATGATGCCACGTCTACCTCGAACTAAAGGTCACGATCTAACTTGTGACACTATAAATACTCCCCCATGTACCCCATACAAAGGCTAATGCAAGAATCAATACAAGAAACCACATTTTACTCTCTTTCTTATTATCTTGCAACACAATATGAATCTACGCATATTTACACACACATTTTCAAACATCAATTGGTAATTATTGTACAATCGGTTAACGAACATCCTGTCGAATTTCGAACGTTCTGGTCCCGCACCGTTGAGCTACTCCCACGCCCTTGATCTATCTGTTTTAGACCGTCCACGTGTATTAGCGTGTTGGACTTTCACTTACGTGTGTGCGGGTGGATTCGACATCTGTTGGCAACATTTTCTGGGGTCAACAGATGCGATGTGGCATTGATCTGTGCTCCGCTCAGCAACGCCCATCTATTCCACTGAATTTCATCAAATTGTGCACAGCGGTGATGGTCTAGACTAAGGAAGAGTGTAGAGTGAGACGGGTGAGTGTAAAGATGATTAGGGTTTAGATGGGTGTGTGGATTAGGGATAGATATATAAATTAATTTATAATATTATCTGTTAGTATTAAATAGTGGAATTATCACATAATTTTTGAATAACCAAATCTTACGGCTGTTTTTTGAATTGTAATCTTTAAATATAATTTGCACCTATATGAATGTGCACCAATAGTGGAGGGGACCCAATTAATGGAAATTATACTAAACACCTACTTCTGCTTAAAAATTGATGAACAGCCCCATTTTCATTCTCAATGATGCTTACCTATTTAATCAAATCTTTAATACAAGTTACCCTATTTTAGTTTAATATCTAAATTTAAGCACCCATTTTCCACCACCATTTCACACATTATTCAAACACCACCAAACCCTAAATATTCTCTTCTTGCGAATATCAACCTCACCACCAGCCCCAAACAGTCATCGCCACCACCATTATTGAAGAAGCCACCATTGCTATCAGCATTGCCACTATCATCAATTTTTCATTTAAAAATTTTAATATGATTTATATCTAGAAATGTAGAATCTAGATCTCGAAAATACTTTTTGGAATCATTAATGTTAATTTAAATGAATTTTATATTTATTTAAATCTGAGATTTTATATCTAATGCTATTTAGATATGAAAATTGAGAAATTCAGGGACTTTCTTTATAGTTGATTTCACATTTTATTGCATAATATTTCGAGGAAAAAAAAATTGTCGGATACCATAGTAAATGTTGAATTTTAATGAAATATTATTTCTAACTCAAAAAGGACCATTTTTCAAAATTTATAAAATGAGGTACATAGTAAAATATTCTTTTTTTAATGAAAATCGGTATTTTTTAGTTTTGCAATAAAAAGTCAAAGCTCAATCAAGTTGTATCATCTGATTTACCAATCACGTGCATTTTCAAAACTTTCTTCATAATTTGCTGAAATAGCTTCTATTTAAATTTTGAATTTTTGGTACGACTAGTTATTTGCTTTTCACATAGATAATTATAACCCTAGCAGTTTAAAATATCAAATAGGACACGACAATTTGTTGTCAAATACAACTTTTTTTTTTTAGCATCAAAATAATAAAAAGTACTTGGAGCTCCCTTAATTCAGACTATAGGTCTACCGTGAGATAAAATACATTCCCGATATGGAAAAGGATTTTGCTCGAGTTACACTAGTGCGCCCCCCTATTGGGTGGGCGCTTGCCCCGACAGGCACAGGGTCCATGTGGCTCTGGAAGAATGCAAAATCCTATGGAAAACTTTTCTTGGCCATGGCCCCCCTGGATGGCCAGTGCCCATGTGGCCCCAGCCAAGTAGCGGGGCTTCCTGATATTGGTCCCAAGATACATCAGCCTAATCATTTTCTATGCTCCGGAAATTCAGGTGTACCATAAACAAAAATAAATTTAATACAAGTTCTTCCACCTTATCTAGGACTCCGGAGGAATGCTGGTTCTCAACGTGGACGAGTAGTAATGAGACTCGAGCTCCTTAAGGCTAGCGACAGCCTCTTCTCCAATTCTCGCCAATTCGCTGTTTGTTTTTTCTGTAAGTCTATTGAACTCTTCCGTTCTCTGGTCTACGTGGTCGTTAAGAGATGCAAAACCTGAGAAAATTGCAGTCTGCTTCAACTCGGACACCAATTTAAGCAGCGAGTCAGCCGCTTGAACCTGTTTGTTTATACTTTCAATTAGCCAAATGAACTGGGGAGAGTATAGGATTAATAACTATAAAACATACACGCATCAAATATGATATAGTTGTTTTGATTCAAAAGCACCAAAGAACTCAAAAGATTTGGCTCGTAGTTTTTGGGTCGATAATGTAGAAGACATGAGCATGTCCACGACTTTTCATTTGACTAAATATTTTGAGACACATATTTGCAGATGAATCTTCGCTGTGTGCAAAGTTATGCATGCATTGACTAAAAATCAGAATAAGCTTTTACCATTCTGGCAGCACGCATCTCCATCATGAAAGCTTCCTGAGAATTTCGTACTGGTGGATCATTAACCTGAAATATATGCAGAATTATTAAACTGTTACACATTTTGAAAAGTGATTCATGGCCAGGAAGTTGAATATTTTCTTCACTTGAGAACCCGGCAAGAACAAAACAGAATTTCATAAATAGAGAAACCTTGAAGGCTCTCTTCTTCGTACAGTTACATGTCAACTTTACAAGTACTGACTTCAGAAATGAAATAATAATAACTGAGTAAAATAACTGAATAACAATCATGTTAAGAATCCAAATAGTTAAAATCACGAAGTTGAACATTTATTGAAAGAGCCAGATCATCAACTAGGATGTCGTCCACCGCTAGCATAATGGCTGCAGCCCAAAAATCAGTGGGTCACTGGTCGCAGAAAAGATTACATGCAATATGCTCATACAAAGTAAAATACACCTGAAACATAGAAATATTATGGCTTTGTTTGGTTCCCATTTTTTTCCGAAATACATTTTTCTCTCTCTCCTTTTCAACCACGCATTCTTCATTAAAATAATATTACACGTAAATAAAAAACTTTTCCTTATTTTACAACCACACATTTTCCATCATTCTACTATTATAAAATGCATTTTTTTCATAGAAATGGGGCTCAAACACCCTCCATTTAAGGGAGTAAAGAATAGCAACACTTCAATTCAGTACCAAAGCCATTTACTTGCTTCGCTTATTTGCTTATAGCTCAGGCAAAAGCACATGCCTAACTGATCAATTACAATATCATAAAATCTGATGGAACAGTTCCTGCGTAAGTTCAAGATGCATGATCTGTTCATGACATGGTTCTAGACAGCAGCAGAGGGCATCTATATACAGATGAAACATCTTTGGGTCCCTAACAACTCTCCGAAACTCCACCTCCCATCCCCACACCAGCATTCCACATTATCTCCTGACCTGTAAAGTTTAGACCCCACAATCTTTTTTTGCATGAGTTTAGATGCCCTTGCAATCTAGAGTAAAGGGAAAAGAAAGACTACTCATCCACCCTATACTCTCTCTATGCTCATTTCCTTTTCTTTTTTCAAATTAAATCTTCACATTCTCCTTTCTTTTTTACCATCCCCCCCCCCTCCCCGCCCCCAGTCCTCCTTCAACCTTTTCTTCTTCTTCCTCTTCCTCTCCCCTTCTCTCAAACTCTGTAAAGCTGCATATTTGATTGAATTTTTTAAATGTGTTTTTGGTGAAATCTTATTGAGCTGTGTGTTGTGTTAAGCTTTGTGTCTATCATACTGAGCTTTTGATATATGCGTCCCAGTACTAATGAAGGAAGGAGGATATTAAACAAACAAGGTGTTAAGCCCCCAATCCGTTTCACGTATGTTAGAAAGAAAGATTGAGAGCCTCCAGAAGGAGGGGTAACAGCATTCAGTTATGAAGCATGTGAGGGAAGGGAAAGTCTGTTGAGAAGTAGTGTTATGAATAGAGGCAGAGAGGAATAGACTGGCAGGCAAATATTTAGTAAGTGAAGAAAGACTTGTAGTCATTTCCATTTCTGTAATTTTCGGTATTTCAATTCAATTAATCAGTTCTTGCAAATTCAGTTTTCATTTGGAGTCTTAACAAATTGGTATCAGAGCACGTTCGGTCCAATGGCGCAAAAGGAGGACAACAGGATGGAAGCCATCGAAAGAGAACTAGAGGAAGTGAAAGCAGGCATGCAACGACTACCGAGCTTGGAGAAGTCGGTGGAAAATCTCAACCAAAATGTGGCAAGGATTCTGCACTCCTTGGAGGAAACCCAGAGAACCGTCGTAACACTTGTTAATCCCAAAGTGGGATTAGGAAAGAATTTGGAGGGAGAAGGATCTGGTAGTATTGTAGACGAATCTGCCCCAATCCATTCAATCCAGCAAGAGAACAGACAATGCGAAGAAATGGGAAAAGAGCAGCCCAAGGAGGAAAACAACTGGAGGGGCATCAGGGAGCTGGAGATGTCCACCTTCCTCGGCGAAAACCCTGATGGTAGGCTATTTCGATCTGGAAAATATTTCGAAGTTAATGGTCTCAACGAGAGAGAGAAGCTGAGTGCAATTGGAGTTAGCTTGGATAGGGACGCCCTCTCTTGGTTGCAATGGACAGAGATGAGGACTCCATTTCGCAGCTGGAACCAATTCCGGCAACAGTTACTAATGCGATTCCGGCCAACCCAAGAGGGAAACGTTTGTGAGAAGTTTCTGGCGATTAAACAAGAGGGTACGGTCGCCGAATTCAGAAGGAATTTTGAAGCGTTGACGAACATTTCAAGGGAAGTGATGGAGGGAATCTTTATAATGGGCTAAAACCGGAAGTTAGGGACGAAGACAGGGTGTTGGGCCCAAAAGGGTTGGGCCAAATTATGGATGTGGCCCAACGCATTAAGGACCGAAATAACCTCATTGAAATCGCAAGAGAAGGGATGGCCCAGAAGACTAGTAAACTGTAGACCACACCAAGTCGTTGGAACGGGAAGAAGATTAAGGTATTCGCTACCAGGTCGGCGACGGTGGGGGAGAAGGTGATTGCGCCGACCAAGGACCCACTGATCAAACGAATGATCGACGCCGAGTGGCAGCTCGGGAGGGAAAAGGGGTTGTGCTTCTAGTGTGATGAAAAATACATAGTGGGTCACCATCACAAGGGGATGGAGCTTAGGGTTTTGGTGTTACAAGAAGAAGATGAATCGGTGGGGAACTGAGCCGCCGGTGGAAGAAGAACCA